AAAAAAAAAAAAAAAACATTATCATTATTGTTTAAAAGATTCAGCAATACAAAAAAATTTCAATATCAAGACAATCGACACTTGACGCTTAACTAGTCATCAAATTCGTAGTTGAACCCCTCGATTCAACTCAAATTGTTGTATACTTCGCTATTTCTGTATACTATTATCCGATCTTTCCTACCAAGCATTATGGCATGTCTAATCGATTTTCTAGGACAAAAAGAACATCATTACAAGAAAGTTCCAACCTCTGTTTTCTTTTTCCTTTATTTTTTTACATCAACATGACCTTAAATAGTCCCAAATTACCACGAAAAATAAAAAATGTGCATAGGAAACTTACATAAAAGTTGCTCGAAAACCCCACGAGTAATGAAATATGTTTCCAACACCATTTTCCATTTCTCAGAGGTGAGAGGTTGCTAACCGCGCAAGGGCAATCCATTGACAACGAATCCAAGGATGACAAGATATAGAAACAAATCATTCGATATCCCAGAGAAATATGCAGCCCACCTAAATTAAGTTTGCACTGCACTACAGGTTCTTCAGGAGGAGCTCGTATGGCACCAATGACAAGAAAATGCTGACCTAAAAGCAAATGGCATTGGCTCTAGCTTGAGATTATACATCCTGCTCAACAACTCTTCAGAGAAGATTCTCTGAGATTTTGTTCCAAGTTCCGCAGTAGAATTCTTGCGAAGATTTTTGCTTCAAGTGGGCCACCTGTTGCTGCTGCTGCAGCTCTAAGCACCCGTGATGCTCCAGCATTTTGCAGAAGGCTCACGTGATGCTGTGCATGACGACCCCCCGGCATGGTAAACTGCAATCAAAAACAGAAATTAGCCGTTTAATATATGTTGTTGTCACAGATTTCCCAGGACTGTTAAGACACAGAGAGAGAGAGAGTAATCGTCTACCTGAAGAAGAGCAAATGCTGCACAAGTCTTTAGTATTGAAGAAGGATATCGCAGCATGGAAACGAACCTTCCAATCTCAGCTCCACTGAGTAAAAAAAGAAGGGAAAATAGAAGACATTAAATTAACAGAATAGAATATAGCTATAACAGGAAACTCTGTTTCAGGTCTTATAAGGAACAAGTTGACGAAGTTTGTAGAAGCACATAAACGAGGATAGAAAAAAATTGGTCAGACCGAAGAAAATATTGATGATGGTATGGAGCCTGGAGAATTCTGTACACATGCACATATAAAGAGAACCTTGGAACTTCAAATTGGACCCTAACTTATTTGACCAAAAGATCGTGTATTTTCGCTTGTTCAATCACAAAAAGGAAATTCAAGAATGCCATTAAATCGTTACCACCTCTCCACCACCCCAGCCCCTACCTGGGTAGAGAAGGGCTAGATGATGCTAAATGTGAGAAGTGGAAAAAAAAAAGGACAAAAAGGATGAGTTAAGGTTCTTATCGACCCAATCATACCAAAAGGATGAGATATTTAAACCTTCAACAATACTAACTGGAGCTTCTGTATAGAGAACTGCATGCAAAACTTGTATTTGTTTAATGAGAAGAGTTGAATTTCTTAATTGTTACCGTATATAGTTTGGGAAAAAGCTGATTTCTAGCAATTGCCTTTATTTACTTTCCTTATAGATGAACTATTGTACAATATATATAGACATTAGGGTACACAATACAAAGGCAAGATTTTACAGAAAATTCTCTCAATTGTTCGGCCTCTTTTTGACATGGTATCAGAGCCTACCTGTAGGCATCGCTGAATCGTTTTTTTTTCCAGTTTCCTTTTGCCTTACCGCGGTCGTTCTCTTTGGTGCTTGAATTCCTCCTTCGGGTTTTCAAGATTTCTCATTCTCGTTTTGTTGGTGATTCCTTTTGGAATTCTAGGTCGATCGGTCTGTGGTCGACTGCTTCGGTGGTTCCAGTCGCCGTCTTCAGTGCGACGGTGGTGGTGCTCGATTGCCGGTTGTGGTTTGAATTGGTCTTCGCTGTGATTTGAATTGGTCTTCGTCGTGTTTGAATTGATCTTTGCCGACGGGTTCTGCGTACGTCTTTGGTCTCTGTGTTACGCGAGTTGAGCGTGTGTGGACTGTGAGGTTTCTATTGGGCCTTTCTTTTGTGGACCGGCTGTAAAGTATCAGTTTGGGCTTTCTAAAGTGGGCTGTTTCTTGAGTTGTACTGGGTTAATTATTTTTTAGGGTTGTGGTTGATTTGTTTATTGGGTTCATTATTTTTCTTCCAGCATGTCATCAGACAAGTTAGATTCTTTTCTTATTCGGTTTAATGGCAAAAATTACTCGGATTGGGAGTTCCAATTCCAATTATTCGTCAAAGGAAAAGTGTTATGGGGTCATCTCGATGGAAGTGATCCCGCACCTATAGATACAGATTCTTTGTCAAAGTGGGAAATTAAGGATGCTCGAGTTATGACTTGGATCCTTAGTTCGATCGAGCCTCACCTTATTCTGAATCTGAGGCCTTACAAAACTGCTGCTGATATGTGGAACTATCTTAGTAAAATTTACAAACAGGACAACACGGCTCGACAATTTCAATTGGAATATGAGATGGCTAATTTTACGCAGGGAAGTCTCTCGATTGAAGAATACTTCTCAAGTTTTCAAAACCTATGGGCTGACTATTCAGATATAGTTTATGCTAATGTTCCTGTTGCCGCTTTATCTGCTGTTCAAACTGTGCACGAGACAAGTAAGACGAATCAATTTCTGATGAAGCTTCGTCCCGATTTTGAGACTGCGCGATCTAATCTGATGAATCGTCATCCTGTCCCATCTCTGGATACTTGTTTGGGTGAACTTCTTCGTGAGGAGCAATGTATAGTTACTCAGGTTACCATAGAACATAGGAATTCTGTTAGTGCTCCAGTTACCGTAGCTTATGCAGCACAGGGGAAGCACAAGGGTCGGGACATGCGTGTTGTCCAGTGCTATAGTTGTAAAGCTTTTGGTCACCTTTCTTGAGATTGTCCTAAGAAATACTATCATTACTACAAGAAACAAGGTCATTACATCTCTGTTTGTCCCATTCGGCCTGACAAGAAGCTTACCACTGCCTATCATACCTCGACTGGTGCCTCTAGTTTTGCGACTTTGCCTACCGTGTGCCCACTCTCACTCCTGAAATGGTACAACAAATGATCAATTCTGCTTTCTCAGCTTTTAGACTCTCAGGTAATCATACACCCTCTTCTAAGCCATGGTTCTTTGACTCCGGAGCCTCTAATCATATGACCAACTCCGTTATTCCTCTTTCCAATGTCAGAAAATATGATGGCACTCTAAAAATTCACACCGCTAGTGGCAGTTCTTTGCCTATTAGCACTGTTGGTGATCTTTCCTCTTCTTTAAATAATGTTTTTGTGTCTCCTCATCTCTCTACAAATTTAATTTCGGTTGGTCAATTAGTTGATGGTAATTATGATGTTCATTTCTCTCGTTCTGGTTGTGTTGTGCAGGATCCGGTGTCCGGGAAGACGATCGCGAAGGAGCCTAAAGTGGGACGACTATTTCCCTTACATCCTTCTCCTTTCCCTCGCTCTCTTTTACTTTCATTTGCATGTAATGCTATTGGTACTGATAATAAGTTGTGGCATAAACGTTTAGGTCACCCGAACTCAGATGTACTTCGTACTTTATTTAATTCTAATCTATTGGGTAATAAAGCATGTTCTTCTTATTTTTCTTTTGATTCTTCTGCATGCAAACTTGGCAAGAGTAAGACTTTACCATTCCCCTCTCATGGATCTCGTGCCTCACAATGTTTCGATATTATACATAGTGATGTTTGGGGGATTTCGCCTATTATTTCTCACGCCCGTTATAAGTACTTTGTTACCTTCATCGATGATTTTAGTCGTTTTACTTGGGTTTATTTTTTAAGGGCTAAATCCGAAGTCTTTTCAGTTTTTACTCGTTTCCTTGCTCTCATTGAGACTCAATTTTCTAGTGGCATAAAGATCTTGCGATCTGATTCTGGGGGGGAATATATGTCCGATCAATTTCAGGACTTTCTCAAACGCAAGGGTATCATCTCCCAACGTACTTGTCTTTCGACACCGCAGCAAAACGGTGTTGCTGAGAGAAAGAATCGTCACCTTCTTGATATGGTACGAACACTCTTAATCGAATCCTCTGTACCTTTACGATTCTGGTGTGAGGCACTTTCCACTTCGGTTCATTTAATTAACCGTTTACCATCTCCTACTTTACATCATGCTTCTCCATTCTTTAAGTTGTTTGGACATTCACCGTTATATTCTGATCTCCGTACATTTGGTTGTATTTGTTTTGTGCATCTTCCTGCTCATGAGCGTCATAAACTTACTGCTCAGTCGGTTAAATGTGCTTTCCTTGGTTATGCTGTCTCTCAAAAAGGTTATATTTGTTATGATCCTTGTGCTCAACATATCCGTATTTCTAGAAATGTGGTTTTCCTTGAAAACCTATATTTTTTTTCCATCTCATGTTGAGCCGCCATCTACCTCTTTCTCTGCCCTGCCTCGCTTCTCTGATTCTCCATCAGTTGGGGCACGATTTAAACCAGGCCTTGTGTATGAACGACGTAATCGTGGGTCTGGTCCTGCCCAGTATGTACCCTCGCAATCTTAACCCAGCACCTGATCCTAGTGCGGTTTGCCCTTGTCTTCGTCGGTCTGCACGTCCTTCTCGACCACCTGATCGGTATGGTTTCTCCTCTCCTGTTTCTCTCGTAGCTACTTTATCTACTATTTCTATTCCCTCTTGTTACAAACAGGCTATTGAACATGAGTGTTGGCGAACGACAATGAACGCAGAACTTGAGGCACTTGAGGACAATCACACGTGGGATGTTGTGCCTTGTCTCCAAGCGTGAAACCTATTGGGAGTAAATGGGTTTTCTCTGTGAAACTTCGCTCTGACGGCTCTTTGGATAGGTACAAAACTCGTCTTGTAGCTCTGGGTAATCGACAGGAATATGACATTGATTATGAGGAGACCTTCGCTCCTGTTGCCAAAATGACCACAGTTCGTATAATTTTGGGTATTGCTGCTTCCCGATCGTAGAGCCTCCTTCAGTTGGATGTGAAGAATGCATTTCCTCATGGCGATCTTCATGAAGAGATTTATATGAAACTTCCCTCTGGTATGACTACTTCGTCTTCTCTTGATGTCTGTCGGCTACGACGTTCTCTTTATGGGCTCAAGCAGGCCCCACGTGCTTGGTTTGAGAAGTTTCGTAGCACCCTCATTACCTTCGGTTTTGCACAGAGTCAATATGATTATTCTCTCTTTTCCCACAAGTCTGTCTCGAGCATTGTCCTTTTGGTTTATGTGGATGATATCATCATTACTGGCACTGACAGTAGTTTCATTTCTAAGCTGCAACACTTCCTACATGCAACTTTTCACATGAAAGATCTTGGCTAGCTCACATATTTTTTGGGACTGGAAGTTCATCATCGGGCCAATGGCATTTTCTTAAACCAGTATAAATATGTTCAGGATCTTATTGCGCTAGCTGGGTTAGAGGAATCTTCTTCTGTGGATACACCTATGGAAGTCAATGTGAAGTATAGGAGTGCTGAAGGGGACCTTCTAGATGATCATACTCTCTATCGTCGCCTAGTTGGGAGTCTTATCTATTTAACTACCACTCGCCCAGATATCTCTTATGTTGTCAGTTTATGTCCTCACCTCGGCATCTTCAACTTGCAGCTGTTTGTCGTATTGTTCACTATCTTCGTGGATCACCTTCTCGTGGATTGTTCTTTCCTAAGGGGTCCTCTCTTCACCTTTTTGCCTATAGTGATGCTGATTGGGTTGGGTGTCCGGATACGCGTCGTTCTACTACTGGTTGGTGTATGTTTTTGGGTGATGCATTGATCTCTTGAAAATGTAAGAAACAGGATCGTGTCTCTAAATCATCTACTGAGGCTGAGTATCGTGCTATGTCTACCGCTTGTTCTGAAATTATTTGGTTACGTGGTCTTCTGGAGGAGCTTGGGTTTCCTCATACTCATCCTACTCCTCTTCATGCGGACAACACTAGTGCTATTCAGATTGCAAGCAATCCCGTGTTTCATGAACGTACGAAGCACATTGAGGTTGATTGTCACTTTATTAGGGACTCTTTGACGGATCGATTGATATCTTTGCCCTACATTTCTTCTAATCTCCAAGTGGCCGATGTCTTCGCCAAAGCATTGTCTCGACTGCGACATCAATTCCTTGTTGGCAAATTGTTGCTGGTTGACCTCCCAGCATCAATTTGAGGGGGGATGTTACCGTATATAGTTTGGGAAAAAGCTGATTTCTAGCAATTGCCTTTATTTACTTTCCTTATAGATGAACTATTGTACAATATATATAGACATTAGGGTACACAATGCAAAGGCAAGCTTTTACAGAAAATTCTCTCAATTGTTCGGCCTCTTATTGACATGGTATCAGCGCCT